AAACATTTTAAAAAGAATTTTGTCAAAGAGGTTTTGGAACTCCATTCTGGCATGTTCCCCCAGGGGGGAAAAAGCCCTGGACCTGCCATCCCTCACAGGTGTGTCTCATTCCCTTCTGAAGCTACCCAAGATGGCAGCCATCAGTATATCCTCAGGCAGTGAGTCCTGCAGTCTATTGGTTTAACTGGAATGAGAGGTTTATGCTCAAATGCAGTCACTTCTTTGACATCTGGACTTCTGTAGATAGCCACTGATGCCCAAAAAGGCACTCCAGTACGTGCTCAGAGGGTCTCATGCCCGGCAGGTTGTTCTGTTCACTGCCAAATACAGTGCTTTGCCCTGGGGAAAAAAAATGAGTTCTGAGAGTCTTAATTGTGGTGAAATCTTGGGAAACTGTTTTGCAGAGAGAGGACAAGATCTCAATGCATAACATGAGCGGCTCAGTGTATTTTGATACAGCCAAGAGTCCAGTGCCCTCTAAGCTGGGTTAGTGTGAGCTAGCTCACAGTTTTTTAGCCTCCGGCCCACCCATTTTTGTCTTCGCTCAGGAAGGACGGCTCCAGAGCAAACTAATTGATGCAGTAGCCAAATTGCCCACTGACAGCTTTAATGCCAGGAGCTCACAAGGTAGGATTTTTGCTCACAGGACTCCACAGCTTAGAGGGAGCATTGGCCGAGACACTTTCTCTTCCCTGCAAAGGGGCATGGAGCACATTCTGACAGGAGGAGATGGTGGAATGACCGCGCTGAGCAAATGTGGGGGAAAGGTCCGCTGCCGTTGACTCACCCCTGTGGTGGAGGGTTGGAAGGCAGCAGCCGTCTTGTGAAACAAGGTTGGGTGAAAGGGGGGAAGGCCTCTCTCCCAGATATGTAGCAAGAGTCCTGGGTGATGTGAATATTTGGCTTTGCGCGTCAGCCAGGGCTTGTGTAAAATGGAGCAGAGAATCCCTAAATCAGTGAAGAAACTTCTTTATTCCTCTGTTGGTTCCGTAAGCCATGCCAAGAGGTTTGACCTCAAAAGGTAGGGAAGGGGATAAACTGGTGGCAGTTTAGAATGGGAGGGGGTACAAATTAGAGCTCCAATGTCTGGCCCGTCTTGTGCTGGCCTGAAACTGTCTTCGTATCACATCCCTAGATCTGAAGTTCTTCCTCAAACCTCCAAAGGAAGTTTAGAAAACTAATAGAGGGCCAAAAGTTAAAAACATAATAAGTGTACAAAAGAGTGTTTATTACAGACATATAAAAACCTAGTAGGGGCCCCAAATAAAGCCTCATAAAATGTTCAAAGTTACAAATACACATTAAAGAGAACGGTGTAAGACCTGATGCGTTTCGGCTCACAAGAGCCTTCTTCAGATGTGAAATAATGCAAAATATAACAAGCAACAGAGTCCCTGCAACACGTGTAAAGCAATTAAAAAGGTAAAGGTAAAGGTCTCCCTTGCTCGAAAGCCAGTCGAATCCGACTCTAGGGTTGCGGTGCTCGTCTCCGTTTCCAAGCCGAAGAGCCAGCGCTGTCCGAAGACATTTCCGTGGTCATGTGGCCGGCATTACTAAACACCATGGCACACGGAACGCTGTTACCTTCCCACCGAAGTGGTACCTATTTATCTACTTGCAATTTCTTGCTTTCAAACTGCTAGGTTGGCAATTAACAATAAATAAAAAATAAATAAATAAAATAGGACCAAAATTGGAATGTTCCAATATGGAATTGAATGACACACTAAAAAGTTTGTATTTGGGGTCACAAATATATCTGGCCTTGTGTCAGAAGTTGTTGTATGGACTGGAAATATTACGTACCTTCCAGTTTAGGTCCTAAGAGTGCAAATAGAATTGCCTTGTCAGGGACAACGTGCCATCATTGACTGTTACATACTGATGGCACATTTGTCCCTGTCATTCAAGTCTTTAGTTGATTTTTTAAGCGACTGGGCAAATGTATTGAGCAGAGATCCAGCAAGAATGTATCTCTGAGTACAGATTCAGGTGGGGTAGCTATGTTGGTTTGAAGCAGCAGAGCAAAGTTTGAGTCCAGCGACACCTTTAAGACCAGCAGAGTTTAATTCAAGGTATAAGCTTTGGTGTGCACGCACTCTTCTTTAGATATCAGATATCTTCCGGCACGAAAGCTTATACCTCGAATAAAACTTTGTTGGATTTAAAGGTGCCACTGGACTCAAACTTTGTTCTGTATCCCCGAGTAGTTATCCTTGCAACAGTAGAGAAAGTCTTTAGTTTTCTGGGAGCGTCTGGTTGGCGGCTGTATGAAATGAGATGTGGGATTGGAGAGACGAGGGGTCGCCCACACAGTACCTGTGGGTACCATGGCACTTGCCAGTATCTTTCCCGGCACCTGCCAAGGGCTTTTAGAAAGTGAGCGGGGCCCGACAAGACTTCTTATTGGCCACTGGATATTTGATTGGCTTTGCAGGTTTTTTAAAACATTGCTTTGGCGGCAGCTGGCACCACAGCACAAGGGTCTTCACTGTGTGACTGAAGATAAGCTGTGGTGGCCATTTTGTGGCTAACTCCGCCTCCCGTGGCAACCATTTTGTTGCTGTGCCCACCATGCTGTGTCAAAATTCCAATGGTGCCAGCAGGCTTAAAAAGGTTATGGACCCCTGAGATAGACTGTTGCTCCGATCCAGCATAGCAGCTGTTATGTTCTTGGGCCAATCTGTCAATTTAACTTGGGAATGATGGGAATTCTCCACACATACACCCTTGAGCCTAGTCCTCTAGAGAGTCTAAATCAACAGGTAGACGAACTGTCTCTCCAGGGGTTCTTTTTTCAAATTAAATGTTATTAATTTCAAAATCTTAAAAATTAATTACAAGCTTTTTTACTACAAGAAATAGAATTAACATTCTTTAATGATGATCTGCTACCAGTTGCCAACTCTATTCTGCTTCTACTTTATTTGTAAATTATAGTCATTGATTAAATCTAATAGAAATTGGCACGCCAAAATAAATATTCCTGCCTCTCAAAATTACTCCAGTACAAATGCAATTATTTCCCATAATTTTACTTATATCTGTTTGAGGAATGTTTTATTAAGTCTCCTTATATTTATAACCATATGTTCTGTATATATTTCGTTTCAAAATTTATATTATAAGCAGTGTTCCCTCTAAGCTGAGTTAGTGTGAGCCTGCTCACAGTTTTTTAGCCTCCGGCTCACACATTTTTGTCCTAGCTCAGGAAGGAGGGCTCCAGAGCAAACTAATTTATGCAGCAGCCAAATCGCTCGCTCACAACTTTAATGCCAGGAGCTCACAAAGTAGAAGTTTTGCTCACAAGACTCCACAGGTTAGAGGGAGCATTGATTATAAGATGAATTACTATAAAGTAAAATCTTTACTATAATTATATTGTTCTTCTTTAACTGGAGCTCTTCTAATCGGTGTTCCCTCCCACTGGGACTCCGGAGTGGTTCCAAAGAAGACTCACTAAGGGTGTGTTGGCACACGGAACGCTGTTACCTTCCCACTGAAGTGGTCCCTATTTATCTACTTGCAATTTCTTGCTTTCGAACTGCTAGGTTGGCAATTAACAATAATAAATAAATAAATAAATAAAATAGGACCAAAATTGGAATGTTCCAATATGGAATTGAATGACACACTAAAAAGTTTGTATTTGGGGTCACAAATATATCTGGCCTTGTGCCAAAAGTTGTTTTTTAAAGCGTTGGCAGTGTGCACATAGGTAGCGGTCCACCACCGTGTTATTAAAAGCAATGTTTAAATGGTACCTAGTTTTAGCGTTTAGACGAGTTTGGGATCTCACGGAGGCCATTTTCGGGGTAAATGTTTAAAGGGAAGTGTTCTTTTAAAGTTTAAAGGGAAGCGTTCCAGCAGTCGGGTTGAAGTGGAAATCGCTGTTCTGCGCACGCGTGAAAAGTTTAGTTCTACAGATGGCTGCCTGTGCGCATGCCCAAACAGAGAGAGAGAGAGAAAACACCGACACACACTCCCGCGTGTGGACAGCGGGGAGCGATGTGGCTGCGCAGCGATCCGGAGCAAGGAGGGGTGAGTGTGATCCCGATTCTCCAGGTTAAAAAAGACGGCATCAGGACCGGTGCCATTTAAACCGCTCCCAGCACGCCGTCTGACCACACCCTTAGTGAGTCTTGCCCAATGGGGAGGCTCTCCAGGGGTTCTGAGAAACTAAAGCGTAAGAAGCCCTGACTCGAATAGCCCAGGCTAGCCCAATCTCCTTAGATCTTGGCTGCTGAGCAAGGTCAGCCCTGGTCAGTACTTCTTTGGGAGACCACCAAAGAAGTCCAGGGTCGCTACACGGAGGCAGGCCATGGCAAACCGCCTCTGAGCTTCTCTTGCCTTGGAAACCTCATGGGGTTGCTGTAAGTCAGCTGCGACTTCGCGGCCAAGCAAAAAATAAAATAAAAAGATTGAAATGTGCAAAGCTAAACTAATGAACTTCCCATGCGCACTGTGCCGCATCGGCAAGGCGTGGTCCCTCGGCAAATACCCGTGACTTGACGTTCAGGCTTCAGCTCCTCGGCCGGTCTCTAGAAGCAAACTCTCTGAGTGGCGGAGCTGGGTTCAAGTTCACCGCGCACTGATGTCTAGGCAGGCATTCACACACCGCCATATCTTCCTTCCGTCGTATTAGAAAACACAGAGTCGCTGCAATTCAGATACATTCAGTGGTGTTTATTATTGGCAGGGAGTGGCCTGTGGGGCCCCCCCCACGGCACTAGGAGGCCTGTCAGGGGAATCCCTGAAGGGCAAAATCTAGCTCTTGAGGACTATGGCCTGAGCATCCCCTTTGACCCAGATTGTCATCTGGAGGAATCGGGGGAAACAGGGATGGGTGGGGCTATTCTCTTGGCCTTCTGGTTGCTGCCCGGTGCTATACTTTGCTGCTCACGTGCTTCTGCTTATCTTCCAACCTCTGATCCGGAGCTCTCGAGTCGCCCTGGAGTTTACCCCAAGCTTATCTTGGAGTTTCTCTTTCTCTGTCTCAGTTGCCTCGAACCTCAGCATGGCCTCCCCTGACGGCACCGCCACCTCGGCCGCTTCAACAGCAGAGCAAGATCCAAAAGTAAGTCCTTCCAGGGTATTTTCTTTCTTTCTACTCTGATTTCATTTCATAGATGGCCCCACCCTGATCGTGCTTGGCTGGGGAGGGGTCCCCTCACTCCTGGGGGCTCCAATCTACCCCCGGCTAGCTGGTCAGCAGAGGAAGCCCTTTAAAGGGTCTTTTTGCAAGTGGAACTGCGGCCGGCGGCTGCCCCTTTCCCTCCATGCTGAAAGGTTTAAAGGGCCCTCCAGCCGATTGGTGGGCCACGTGCTCCCCCTCGATCAACTGAAGCCCTTTAAATCTCTGCAGGAGGAGAGGGAGAGGGGTGTGGCCGCAGCTTGGGGGGTGGCGGGGCTTGGGAGTGTCCTTGCCCACCCCTGGAATGCCCCCCAGATCCCCCCACCAGAGCAACAAGGGGATCTGGCAACACTGTATTTGCTACAAAGCGGTAACAGCAGCCACGTTCGTATTAGACTAACGGCCCATCTGAACCAGGGCCCTGTTTGCGCTCAGGCCAGGCATATGTCCCCAGAAGATCTACAGGCAAGGCCCAAGTCTCTCCCTGTTGTAACTGCCATCCAGAGATAGACTGTCCCTGAGCATGGAGGTTCTACTTACTCCCCATGTTTTACGTAGCCATCGATCGGACCTATCCCACAGGAATGTGGTTTAATCCCCTTTTAAAGTAGTTGTTGCTACGTCCTGTGGCAGGGAGTTATCCAAGCAGATTCCTCTTTGGGTAAAGTATACTTTTCTGTCCTGGCCATCGTAGCATTTGAATTAAGGGGCGTACATTTGGAAATTTCCAAGTGGGAAACACTGCCCAAAAATTCCACTTCAGTTTCAGATTGGAAATAACCCAAATTCCCACCCCTGATTCAAACTCAATACAGTGAATCCTATGCAGAAGATCAATTCTGCAAACTCTTGCGATAGAGAGAAAGGCCTGGATCTTATGGCCAGCGGCTGGTTTCGTCTGCCATGCTTTTCTCCTGCCCTTTCTTCAAAGGGGCTCAGGGTGACCTGGGTCATTTTCCCATCCTTGGTTGTATCCTTAGCCCAGGCTGCCTCACAGGGTTGTTGTGAGAGCCTCTGTCTCAAATTTGTCCAATGAGTTTCAGGTGGACATTAGAACCCCGCTCTTGCAGGTCCGACCACTACACTAGCCTCTCTCTTGTGGCAAAGATCTTACACGGTCTGAGGTAGGTCTCAACCGGGGGCGGGGGTAGCTACCCACTGGTGGTGTCGCCCCCTCCTTAGTAGGGTGAAGCATGCCTGGAAGGAGGGGTACAAAGTTCCACAGAGGGCTAAGAAGTCAAAAATGGGAAGCACTTACTGCCTGAAACAGTTAAAACAACATAAAATCATCTAAAAACAGTTCACGTGCATAAAGTGCTGGAAATGGTTAATTAGTTGTTTGTCTGAGATGGCTTACTTTAAGGATGTACACAGAGGTCTAACAGTCAGTCTGCTGAAGATCTTCCCGTGGCACAGGCTAGATGCCAAAACCAAGGCTCTATAATGGCAGCGGCTCTCCAGTTGAAAGCCTGGCGGAAGAGCTCCATCTTGCAGGCCCTGCAGAACTGCAAGAGATCCCGCAGGGCCCGGATCTCCTCCGGGAGCTCATTCCACCAGTATGGGGCCGCCACTGAGAAAGCCCTGGTGGTAGCAAGACTGGCATCCTTAGGGCCTCGGAGGGTCAATTGATGTTGAGACCCCCAGCCATAGTGCTCTCTGGGGTATATATGGGGAAAGGCAGTCGCTCAGGTATGCCGGACCCTGGCCATAGAGGGTTTTAAAGGTAAGAACCAGCACCTTGAAGCGAATTCGGTATGCTATTGGCAGCCGGTGCAGTGTCCTCAGCACAGGCTGGATGTGCTCCCACCTGGGGGGACCCATCAAAAGCCTGGCTGCGGCATTCTGCACTAGCAGTAGCTTCCGAATTTGCGACAAGGGCAGCCCCATGTAGAGAGCGTTACAGTAGTCTAACCTTGAGGTGACCATCGCACGTCTTGCCTGCAGGACCAGCTGTATGCAAGCGACATGGTCTTCTCTGGAGCAGATTACTCTCGCTGGGTTGGGGCAGCGGGGTAGCGCGTGTGAGAAGACGGGTCCAAAATGCAGGGGAGCGCTGTCTAAACCTGAGGCAAGCTTCTCATCTCGCGCTACTTATTGTGGGGAAATGGAGCCTGGGACCTGGCGGTGTGTCTTGCTGGGCTAAATGTTGTGCAAGATCTGGTAGCGGGGTGCATTCCTCCCCCCCCCCCCGGCGCACTGTTCTCTCTCGGACGCGTGCCTTGGTTCAGGCTATGGCCCTTGTGATCTGGCAGGCCTTGCGGAGATCTGGCCGGTAGCCAGAATGGGTGCCGGAGGTGGCTGCTGATCCAGTTCTGCACTTAGTAGGGGGGGGGGGGGCTGTTGCGTCCCGAAGCAAATTTAGCCAATTCTGCCCCTCCCCCACACACACTCTGGCCATTGGTGGGAGGTGTCCAGGAGTCCAAGGCTGGCCCCCATGGGTTCCCAGGGCCGTTGCACACAAGTAACCCAACTTCTTGTTTATGTTATTAAAAATCTTGCAGAGTTTAATTTCTGTCAAAACAAAGATTTTATTCTACCGGCAACGCAGTGCTCTGAGGTCACACAGCAAGAAAACGAGTGTAACTGTCTAACACACTTTTGGAACATGCGCTAGATGGCACAGACCTTAAGTCCAAGGATCAAAGGCCACAGCTGATGTGTTTTCTATCTCGCTATCTATTGCAGTACAAGCATATCGTAGTTCAGGCCTTCAGTCCACAAGTGAGCTTCCTTCTTCAGGGCCTCAGCTCAGTTATAATTCTTAAGGCCAAGCAGTGTCGGGTGATGACAGCCAATCAGCATATGTTTTTTGGGGGGCCGCTCTAGGAAATTACCTCCTCACTCTCGATTCTCCCACCTCCCCTCCTGCAGGCCTCAGCTTCTCATGAGAAGTTAATGACCACATCTTCCGCTCTGGCCTTGAAGGTGATAAGGGCTGTGTAGGCCGAGAGGGCAATTAGTAACAGCTGCAGGCTGGGAGAAGCCCGTCACTGTTCACATTCACCCTGAAGGGTGAGGTCAGGGGTGCTTTTCCTCACAGGAGGGAAGAATTTCTTATTCTGCAGGAGCATCTGGTGGTAGGGTTGCCAGCCCCCAGGTGGGAGCGGGAGATCCCCCCCAATTTCACAGCTCCTGCCCACCGCCAGCCAGGTGACCAGCGGGAGAAGCCCCCCCCCCAGCCACAACCTGGTGTGACACCCTCAACATGATGACGTCACTTCTGTGACATCATCACGCCGGGGGCGACGCTCTGGTGTTTGGGGCAAAACTCTACGGCAGTGGTGGCGAACCTATGGCACGGGGGCCAGAGGTGGCACTCAGAGCCCTCTCTGTGGGCACGCGTGCCATCGCCCCAGCCAGGCCCAGACCATCGTTAAAGTGTTGAATTCTCTGCCAAATAATTTTAAGTAAATGAAAGCATTTGGGATGGCTTTCCTTACTTTGTTTGGATCATCTTAAGTTAATGTAGGAGTTGTTTTTTCTAAAGTAAAACCTCAGTATTTAGGTTAAATTGCTGTGTTGGCACTTTGCGATAAATGCGTAGGTTTTGGGTCGCAGTTTGGGCACTCGGTCTCTAAAAGGTTCGCCATCACTGCTCTATGGTAATTGGTGTGATTATGTCACTTCTGTGTGACGTTCACGTAACATCCCCCCCCCGCTTCCTCCACTCCCGGGAATCTACCTCCCACTCCCCTGCCAGCAAGAGGTAAGCACCCCTTTCTTAAAAGCAGCATGCACCAGTTCACCCTTAACCAATTTATCCTTGGGCAAGAGTGAGAGCACCTGGCCCACTGTCACCCTGTCAACTTCATAGCAGAGTTGGAATTTGAACTTTCATCTCCCAGTGTTCTAAGGGCTCCTGGGAGAAGTATTTACGATGCTTTATTACACTGCCTTGCGATGATGACGATGTCTCTTTGAGGTCGGTGGAGCTGAGACACAGAGGCCTCATCGAGATCTTTAATTTGAGCAGTGAAGCCCTCTAGAATTCTTGTTGGAGGAAACCGCTTTCCTTCTAGGTTTGGTCAAAAGAAATTAAGTCTGCTGGTGTTAGAAGCTGGCGGTGCACAGCACTGATTGGCTTGGCTCTGTGTCATCAAGGGGTGACCCTTCCTACCCCTTACTTGGAGTAGTATTTGCAAAGTTTTTTATTTATTTATTTATTTCAGTTTTACCCCGCCCTCCCTGCTAGGCAGGCTTAGGGCGGCTTCCAAAAACTGACAAGCAGTATACATTTACAATAAAATATAAATACAAGGCATCAGTTAAAACACAACCAATCAGTATAAAACATTCATTAGATGGCGATAAAACTAAAGTGCAGTTTAAGGACACATTCAGCGGTGCCCCCTCATTAGGTCGTATTGGATCAGAGTTCACACAGGGCGCTGCTGGTAAGACATCTCTCCTATCGGAACGCCTGCCTGAAAAGTTCTGTTTTCACGGCCCCGCGAAACTGACAAGTCCTGCAGGGCTCTAATCTCGACAGGAAGCTCGTTCCAGTAGGACGGAGCTACAAACGAAAAAGCCCTCATCCTGGTTACCATCAACCTGACTTCCTTAGGGCCAGGGAGGTCCAGGCGGTTTTGGGATCCAGTGCTCTCTGGGGAACATACGGGGAAAGGCGGTCCCTCAGGTAGGCCGGTCCCTGACCGTAAAGGGCTTTAAAGGTCAAAACCAGCACCTTGAAGCGAATCCGGAATGCTATTGGCAGCCAGTGCAGAGTCTTAAGGACAGGGTGGATGTGCTCCCACCTAGGGAGACCCATCAGCAGCCTGGCCGCCACATTCTGCACCAACTGCAGCTTACGGAGGGCCATCTTTCTCTGTTGCTGCAGGAAGGTGAGCGGAATGACAGTTCTGTGTAGAATACACATTTGGATACATCTGTCGTGATTCTTGTAGAATACACATTTTGTAGGATACATAATTCTGTGTAGAATACACATTTGGATACATCTGTCGTGATTCTTGTAGAATACACATTTTGTAGGATACATAATTCTGTGTAGAATACACATTTGGATACATCTGTCGTGATTCTTGTAGAATACACATTTTGTAGGATACATAATTCTGTGTAGAATACACATTTGGATACATCTGTCGTGATTCTTGTAGAATACACATTTTGTAGGATACATAATTCTGTGTAGAATACACATTTGGATACATCTGTCGTGATTCTTGTAGAATACACATTTTGTAGGATACATAATTCTGTGTAGAATACACATTTGGATACATCTGTCGTGATTCTTGTAGAATACACATTTTGTAGGATACATAATTCTGTGTAGAATACACATTTGGATACATCTGTCGTGATTCTTGTAGAATACACATTTTGTAGGATACATAATTCTGTGTAGAATACACATTTGGATACATCTGTCATGATTCTTCCACAATCATCTCCTGACCTTGCGACTGAGCGGTAAGAAGTAACAGTGTTGCACACAGGAGACCTGGATTTGAATCACTGTATAATCAGGAAACATACTCATCTTGGGCCAGCCACGGTCTCTGATTCTTGCCCACCTTAATGGGTTGAGGTGAACGTCAAATGGGAAATTCCTGAATGGGCTGCTCCGAGTTCTAGTGTGTGATAAATAATACTTAGGACTTGTGGCGTGGGAAACCTGCTTTCGTGACTAGTGTCAAGTTTTTGGTCCTTCTGAAACACTTCCACGAGTTGTTTTGTCTCTCTGAGCCTACCTGTGTCCAATCACCATTCTTTTCCCTCCCCCTTTACGTCAGTGTGCAACTGGCAGGGTGGCGAACCTACCGCTGGTCAGCTCTGCTTACGACATGGTCTCCTCGGCTTATGCCTCTACTAAAGAGAGCCACCCCTATGTGAAAATGGTCTGTGACGTGGCAGAGACAGGGGTCAAAACCATTGCTGCAGCTGCTGTCAGTGGGGCCCAGCCGATCCTGAATAAGTTGGAACCACAGAGTAAGTATCTTTTCTACCCCTGGCTGCGTGCAAAAAGCAGGAGAGGCTAGCAGTACGGAGGGAAAGGACTGTATTCAAATCCTGGAAAGTTAAGACTAGGGTTTCTCTAAACCAGGGGTGTCGAACTCTTTAGTTATGAGGGCCGGATCTGACATAAATGAGACCTTGTTGGGCCGGGCCATGTGTGTCATTAAATGTAATGCCAGGTAGCAGAGATATAAACTTTATAAAGGACACAAACACAAAGCGGTTTTTTTTACTTAAAATAAAAACTTGCTTAAAACATTTGCTCTGTGAGCTGCAAACCTACTTTTGATTTATTGGCGTTCACCACAGAAATCTCATGCTCAGAGTTCTGAGTCTAGGACCCAGGTTAAAACATGAAATGTCTGAGTGATGAAGAGAGTCTAGCGAAGCAAGCTATGATGCAGCAGCAGCAGAACTGAAAGCAGGAGACGGCCAGTTCCACTGCGGGCCTGATGGAAGCCCTCCGGGGGCCTAATCCGGCCCCTGGGCCACATGTTTGACACCCCTGCTCACAGAGGACAAGGGTGGGAGTCCTTGTATACCAGGAGTCCTCAATGTGGTGGTGCCCGCCGACACCTTTCTTAGTGCCTGGCGAGTGCTTTTATTAAGTGGTTGGGGGCCAGATGGGGCTTTTGCCCAGCAGGGTTCCTGACTGGCCATTGGAGATCTGAATGGCTATACGGATTTTTTAAAAAGCTATGGAGCAGCCGCTACCGTGGTTTGAGGACAGCAGAAGGGAGAGGAAGGACTGGCAAATGATAGAGGGTGACTGACCAGCATGTGAACCAACCAACAGAATATACTGATTTGGCCACCAGAGAGTACCCAGTGCCTTCTTAAAGTATCTTTAAGATGATCCACGACTCGCAAATGGCGAAGTTGATGTGGCGTGGCTGCCACCACAACACAAGGATCTTCATTGTGTGACGGACGGTCCATCACGGTAGCCATTTTGTGGCTGGTGCCATCACCTCTGGCAGCCATTTTGTGGTGGTGCCTGCCACCCTGCGTCGGAATTCCAAAGGTGCGCACAGGCTCGAAAAGGTCGGGAACCCCTGTCGTATACATTCCCAGGGATAAACTGAATCTCAGCTCTGACGTGCCCTGATTGGAGATCTTTTCTCTGTCATCTGCAGTCTCGAGTGCCAACGAATATATGTGCAAGGGCCTGGATAAACTGGAGGAGAAGTTGCCAATCCTTCAGCAGCCAACTGATAAGGTACTTGGCCAACCCTAATTCTGTGAGCCGCTTAATATGAGGATGCAATTCCCCCCCCCCAAAAAAGTGGGGTTTTTTGCCAATGTAGTGGATGCACCAAGGAACTGAACAGCAGATGCTTAAACTGAGAGCCAGTTTGGTGTCGTGGTTAAGTGCGTGGACTCTAATCTGGGAGAGCCGGGTTTGATTCCCCACTCCTCCACTTGCACCTGCTGGATGACCTTGGGCAAGCTGTAGTTCTGATAAGAGCTGTCCTTGAAAAAGAGCCGTTTCTGTCAGAGCTCTCTCAGCCCCACCTACTTAACAGGGTGTCTGTTGTGGGGAGGGGACGGGAAAGGAGCTTGTAAGCCACTCTGAGACCCCGAGTGAAGGGCGGGATATAAATCCAACCTCCTCCTCCTCCTCTTCTTCTTTTTCAAACCACAAGCCACACATGGCTCTCATCTCTTCTCTCTTCTTTTACCTCACAGGGTGTCTGTCGTGGGGAGGGGGAAGGGAAAGGAGTTTGTAAACTGCTCTGAGACTCCTTTGGGGAGTGAAGGGTGGGGTATAAATCCAATCTCATCTCTTCTCTCTTCTTTTACCTCACAGGGTGTCTGTCGTGGGGAGGGGGAAGGGAAAGGAGTTTGTAAACTGCTCTGAGACTCCTTTGGGTAGTGAAGGGCGGGGTATAAATCCAATCTCGTCTTCCCCCCTCCCCATTCCCCCACTCCTTCTTTCCCCAAAAGAAGCAGTGTCGTAATGAACTGAACGCACACGGATCCTCTGCTGGCTAGACATAACCAGATCCCTATCCCAGTCTGGCTTCGTGCCTTCAAGTCTCTCCCTACGGCCCTTCTAAAGCTGACCCCGGATAGTGGATCTGTATCCCTCTGAGTCTCGTACTCCAAAACACGTATTTGTGCATAAACAGCCGTCTGTCTTTTTAGGTCTTTTCGGACACCAAAGAGCTGGTGACTTCCACGGTGTCCGGGGCCAGAGATGCTGTCAGCAACACTGTCACGGGGGCCAGGAACACCGTCACCAGCACAGTGACTGGGGTGGTTGACAAGACCAAGGAGGCGGTTCAAGGGGGCGTGGAGATGACCAGATCAGCAGTGGCCACAGGGGTCAACATGGTGGCCAGCGGTGTGGACAGCATACTGGGGAAGTCTGAGGGCCTGGTTGATCACTACCTTCCGGTAACGGAGGAGGAGCTGGGTGAGTCGGAAGGTGGCCTTCTCTTTGGAGAATGACTTCTGTTTGGTGCCTTCATTTTGAGGAATGACTTTTATTGGTACCTTTATTTTAAATTTGTTTAAAACCCCACCTTTCTCCCAGGTAGCTGAAGCCCAAGGCAGATAACAATGGTGAAAAAGTGTGAAGGAAGAGTCTTGGGTAGTTTGGTGCAGTGGTTTGATTCCCCACTCCTCCACTTGCACCTGGCTGGATGACCTTGGGCAAGCCATAGTTCTGGCACAGCTGTTCTTGAAAAAGAGCAGTTTCTGTCAAGAGCTCTCTCAGCCCCACCCACCTCACAGGGTGTCTGTTGTGGGGAGGGGAAGGGAAAGGAGTTTGTAAGCCGCTCTGAGACACCTTTGAGTAGTGAAGAGCGGGGTATAAATCCAATCTCTTTTCTTCTTCTAGGGATGTGCATTCGGTTTGTCTGAACTGAATGTACCCCTGAAAATGGCCCATTCGGGTCCCTTTTGGGCTGCTGCGGGCCGATTCAGATTCTCTGATCTGAATCGGCTTGCCACCAAATTGCCGCCAAATTTCGGCGGCAGTTCGGCCCCATTATACCCTATGGGCCATTGAAGTCAATGGCAATGGCAAAACCATAGGGTATATTCTGGGGGCTGGAGGGGAGCGGGTTTGAGGGAGAGGCTCCAAACTCACAGGGTAGCTGCTGGAGCCTCTCCCCAAGATACCCACCAGGTTTCAAGAACATGGAACCAGGGGGTCCAATTCTATGGGCTCCCAGACCGGTTGCCCCCATCCCCTCCATTCTCTATGGTGGGGGAAAAGTTACCTAGCCCTCCGTTTTTCTTCTTCCTGAGAGGAGCTTGGGTCCCGCCTCCCTCAAAGCCTCCGATCGCCATCTTGGGGGGTTGTTTACATTTGCCGATTAAAGTTGCCAAAGTCTCAAAGGTCTGTAAACGCTTATATTGGAAAAGTTCTCTGATTTAGTCCTTCTGCTATAATCCATTGCCACTGCAAGGTCAGTCCCACCCACCCCCATCGTATTTCCGCTTCATTAGATCACTTATGGGCGTAGGGCGTCCCCTCTCCCTTCCCGCTTAAATTGGGGGGGACTTCACAACAGGGCTCCGATATCTCACTTCAACTTTAACCCACTCATCCGTCTTCAAAACGATCTGACAGGTCTCCCTGGGATCTCGCTGAGCAGAGTAGAATCGCCAAACCTTCATAAGCTTGTCCCGGTGGTTGCCTCAAGTCCAATACTAGGAATCAGAGCAGGACCTTCGGGGCAGAGAGTAGCCCCCCTGTGCCGGCTGTCGGTCGGAGGAAGGGCTCTCCAAAGCCCCCTGGCTAGGAACCCATTAACCATGGGCTCCATGGGGGAGTGCACACAATCGCGCTTCCTCCTAATCCCCGGTTCATGGCACTCTTGGAGCTGTGAGAAGACGTGGCCATCACTGAGGCGCCGAAAACCGGAAGTCTATTCCATGCATAATCTTGTAAACCTCTATCGTCACCCCTCAGTCATCGTTTCTCCAAGCTAAAGAGCCTTAAGCTCTTTAACCTTTCTTTATAGGGAAAGTGTTCCAACCCTGTATCATTCTAGTTGCCCTTTTCTGCACTTTTTCCAATGCTACAATATCCTTTCTGAGGTGTGGTGACTAGAATTGCACACAGTAGTCCAAATAAGGTTGCACCATCAATTTATACTGGGACATTATGATACTGGCTGATTTGTTTTCAGTTCCCTTTCTAATAATCCCCAGCATAGTGTTGGCCTTTTTTATTGCAGTTGCACACTGCCTCGACATTTTCAGTGAATTATCTACTACGATGCGAAGATCTCTCTCTTGGTCAGTCTCTGCCAGTTTGGACCCCATCAACGTGTATTTTTGGTTAGGATTTTTGGCCCCAATGTGCATCACTTTGCACTTGGCCACATTGAACTCCATTTGCCACGTTGATGCCCACTCGCCCATCCTCGACAGATCCTTTTGGAGTGCTTCACAGTCCTCCCTGGTTCTCACCACCCTGAACAATTTAGTGTCATCTGCAAATGTAGCCACTTCACTGCTTACTCCCAACTCCAAATCATTAAAGAACAAGTTAAAAAGCATTGGACCCAGTACTGAGCCCTGCAGTACCCCACTGCTTACCACCCTCCACTGTGAAAATTGCCAATTTATACTCTCTGTTTCCTATTAATTAACCAATCATTAATTAATCCTTCCAAATTTTATGATCTCCAGATGGCATCCATAACGTAATCTAAAACCTACTCTGGGCTGTTCTTCTATCTCGCGGGCAGGTTAAGGAGGAGGCCGAAGTGGGCAAAATGGAAGAAAAGAGGGAGGGTGCCTGCTATGATGGAAAACCGTTGCTGTCCTCAACCAAATTGCCTTGCGGAACAGGCCCTGATGAGTTCCGCTAGGTTGAAGCCGGGGCCAAGAAGGCCCTGGCTCTGGTCGAGGATGGCCAAGGAGAAATAAAATCCTCATGGGTTTGCTTCCCAAGGACCTGTGCGTAGAATTGCAGCCTCCGCTATTCCATGCCATCAGGGAGCAGAAAAGTTAATCGAGTGGTAAATGGAAACTGCTCTGACGTGTGATCCAAGTTCTGACCACCGGATCTTGGCCAGTCTGGTACAGCTCCCTGTGGGCTGTGGTGTGTGTGATCCTAACTATGCTGAGCAGAGCACCGGATCTTGGCCAGTGGTCTGGTACAGCTCCCTGTGGGCTGTGGTGGGGGTTGAATGACCATAACGCTATGAACAAGACCAGGGGTTATTTAGTAGAAAAAGAGGTGCAGGAGCTCATTAGCATAACCTATTTGCATATGCCACACCCCCTGACATCACCGGAAGTGTGTCAGAAGGCGACACCCATCGCTCAGGCTCCACTGGGCTGTTTTGGATTGCTAGCTATTGGGGGGGGGGAACGTGCAGATCTGTCCTCGCAGAGGAGGGAGAGCTTCTACCTGAATAAAACTTGATCTTAAAGGTGCCACTGGACTGTTTTGGGACAGGGGGTGGCTCTGCAACTTACCTGGCTGCTTCTTGCTCTGACTGAGGGCTGCTGGGAGCAGGGGGTGGGGCTAGTTGCATGTGCCCGCCCCCTGTGCTCTTTACTGCTGGAGCTCCGCTCCTGCAGGAAATGACCCCTGAACTAGACCTCTTGTCTCGAGGCTTCCACTAGCACCCCTAGAAACGTGGCTGTACTGAGTCAGTGTAGCAATTCTGAGCTGTTGAGTATGTGGCGTATGTGGCATGCCAAAGCATTTTGAGAGAAGCTGGGGGGGTGGGAAACCAAAGATAATTTCTTCAATGTTCGTCTTCTTCACCTGTTGAGCCCCCTCTCTCTGACTTTTCTAGCTCAGCTGGCCACCTCCATGGAAGGGTTTGACATGGCCTCCGTGGAGCAGCAGAAAGAGCAGCAGAGCTATTTTGTCCGCCTGGGCTCCCTCTCGAGCAAAGTCCGCCACCGGGCCTACCAGCACTCCCTGGGCAAGCTGAGGAACGCCAGGCAGGGCACTCAAGACGCCCTTTCCCAGCTCTCCCAGACCATCGAACTGGTAAGGAAGCAACCTAGATTTTGGATGGTCCTCATTGCCTGAAGATGTCTTCCTGCAGCTGTGCATGATTCTCAGATCTCTTACTGTCAACTTAATGTGAGTGTTGCCTGGCTTCTGAATGAGGGAGAGTCCGGCTCAGCTTTGCAAGACCTGAGCTGCTATGCTGATCCTAGTTTCTTGACAAGAGCCTAACTCCTTGGCGGCTTAAGAAGTCTGCAAGTACTAAGCTGTCTGATCCGATGTTTGAGAGTTGTTAGGGTGTTGCTGTCTTAAGAAATGCCACAGGGTCTGGGAAGTATTAATTTTAGGAGTCTCTTGGAATTCTGAGCTATTTAGCAGGTCACGGCCTGCTCAGTGGGGTACAGGAAGCCAATGAGGAAATGAGCATCTGTCAAAGTAAAGTGTGCCATCTGTCAGGTTTCCCAATCAAACACTCAACAACGTTCCTTGCTAAAGTCCAGTTTATGGAGGTCAGTACTGGTGCCACCATGAACTCTTGAGTCAGGAATAACCAAATGCAAAATGGTGGTCACAGATATACCCCCTTCGAACCAGGCCCCCGGATATCACAAACCCAATAAGCAAGCCACCTACAAGCGCGGGCAGAAAGCAGCAGTTAGATTCCCAGTGGGGAAAAGCAGACGAGGGAGAGCCAAGTCTTCGAGGCCACTAGGCAGATAGCTAGGGTTGCCAAGTCCTTACCTGTCCCGGAGCGGGGGAGTCTGGGCTTGCTCCGGGAGTCTTCACATGCGCGCGCGCCGCAGGCACGTCACAGGGAAGTGACGTAAGCATGTCGGGGACGTTGGGGGCGGGGCAATCATCTCTCGGATGATTGTGGCCCCGCCCCCAACGTCCCCGACGTGCTTACGTCACTTCCCTGTGACGTGCTTTGGGGGTGGGGTTCCCTCCGGTGCCCAATCCGGCACCGCCGGGGAACGGGCCTCCCGGGCGGGGTTTTCCCCGCCCCCCGGGGGGACTTGGCAGCCCTACAGATAGCAAAGGCAGCAGAGGGTGCCGGAGAGGATGGAGGCACCTCCTCCCACGTTCCAAGGCATGGCAGCTTCAGCTGACACCATCAAGTTGCCACCTAGTCATGGCAACCCCCATGAAGTTCCACCTCATAGAGTTCTTAAGGCCCAAGAAGAGTAGAGGCAGGCCTGTAGCTGCAGTGGGGCGTTTCGGGGCCTGGCCCCCTGACTTCCTGCCAAGGGCCCCCTCCGATTTCTATCCAGCCCCCCGGCTGCCTGGCTCTCTGGGCCACTTGGAGGACTCCCCACCACCGCCTTTTCCCCAAGCGTGGCTTGCTTCCCCATCTAGGCAACCAGAGTGTGAACGCCGCAAAAGAGTTTTAAATTTTTTATTTTTATTGTATTTTTTATTTTGTGACGTCAGTGCCCCCTGAATGACAAAATCCTGGCTATTGCCTCCCTCTGCCTCGCAAAGCCAGTTTTCAGTGGTGGTCTCCCATCCAAGTACTAACTGTGGCTGCCACAGCCTACCTTCAGTCAAACAGTGAAGATCTTTGTGCTGCGGTGGCAGCTGGTGCCAAAACAATGTATTTTTTAAAAAGTCTGTGCAGCCAATCAGATGGCTTCCTAGGCAAAAGCCCCCCTTGCCACCCACCACCACTTTATACAAACACTTTTCTCACAGACCTGAGGCAGATTACAGAATTTTTTAAAAAGTGCAGCCTAGGACAGGGGTCCCAAGCCTTTTTGAGTGTGCAGGCGCCTTTGAAATTCTAACACAGGACAGTGGGCAAAATCACAAAATGGCTGCCGCAGTAGGTGGAGCCCGTCACAAAATGGATGCTGCAGGAGGTGGAGTTGACCACAACATGTCAGGGATTGAGGTGATATAGCACTCTCAACAGTCACTCTTCAACCTTTCAGGCAGAAACTCTATTTAACACAATGCCTTTTAATCTACAGGGCCAGTCAGAAGCTGTGAGTGCATAAGTCCCACCTGCTTTCTAAAAGCACTTCTGTGGGTTAATGTATCAAAAACGAGACAGGCTTTGGTGTGAATACAGTGGGAAAAATAAAATGAGTTCACCGAAGAAAACCACTGTTCTGGGACTTTAACACACTTGGTTGTACTTTTCATAGTGCTTATAATGCAAATTTCTTATATTACACAACAATCATCCTTATGTAAAGTACATGCCATAAACATAGGCAAAGCCAGTAGATTAATGGTGTGAGGAGCTGCGGTGGCTCAAGTGGTGAAGACGCTGAACTGCAGGCTGTGGAAGGTCAGTAGTTCAGCAGTTCGAGACCCGGGTGCCGCATGACGGAGTGAGCTCCCGTCTCTAGTTCCAGCTCCTGCCAACCTAGCAGTTCGAAAGCAAGAAACTGCAAGTAGATAAATAGGTACCACTTTGGTGGGAAGGGAACAGCGTTCCGTGCGCCTTGGTGTTTAGTCATGCCGGCCACATGACCACGGAAACATCTTCGGACAGCGCTGGCTCTTCGGCTTTGAAATGGAGATGAGCACCGCAACCCTAGAGTCAGATTCGACTGGCTTTCGAGCAAGGGAACCTTTACCTTTACCTTACAAAACAGAAGCTTGATGCAAATGTTACCTTCCCACTGAAGTGGCACCTATTGATCTACCTGCAAGTTCTTGCTTTCGGACTGCTAGGTTGGCAGGAGCTGGAACTAGAGACGGGAGCTCACTCCGTCATGCGGCACCCGGGTCTCGAACTGCTGAACTACCGACCTTCCACAGCCTGCAGTTCAGCGTCTTCACCACTTGAGCCACCACAGCTTGTACTCACACCTTTATCTACTTGGCTTTGTCATTGTTCATGGCATTTACTTTAAATAAGGGTGATTGTTAAGAAATCTGCACTGTAAACATTGTAAAGAGTACAACCAAGTGTATTAAAGTCACAGAGCAGTGTTTTTCTTCGGTGAGTTAATTTTCTTTTCCCCATTGCCTATGTTTATGGCATATAAGAAATTTGCATTATAAACATTATAAAAAGTACAACCAAGTGTGTTACAGTCCTAGAACAGTGGCTTTCTTCAGTGAGCTCATTTTATTTTCCCCATTCTAAAAGCACTTGGTGGGCACCAGGAAAGGTCTTGGTGGGTGCCATGGCTCCCATGGGCACCCCGATCTAGAAAATGTCCACAAATGTTAAAAGAAAAGCGGGGCCGCTTGCTCTAAAAAGCTGTACAGTTTTGCTGACTGAACATGGCTGAGGAGCCCTCCTTTGTGATTCCTTGCAGATTGAGCACATCAAACAAGGGGTTGACCAGAGAATCCAGAGCACCCAGGAGAAACTGCATCAGATGTGGCTGCAGTGGAATCCAAAGCAGTCCGCTGAGACCAGCCAGAAAGAAGCTCCTCAGCCAGAGGTAGGTTGCTCTTTTCGTTTCTGGGGAAACCATTTCTCAAGAATCCCTCGGATGCTTTGTCTGACCCTCTTGACCGGTCCCTTTTCCCCCCCCAGCAGATTGAGTCTCAAGCTTTAGAGGTTTCCCGTGGCATCGCTCAGCAGCTACACTCCACCACGGCGGCTCTGGTCTCCAACCTCCAAGGCCTCCCTGCAGGCATCCAGGAAAAAGTGAGCCTTGTCCGTCAAAATGTCGACGAACTTCGGACATCATTCTTATCTGCCAAATCCCTCCAGGACTTGTCTGCGTCCATCTTGGCCCAGAGCAGGGAGAGGGTTACCCAGGCCCGAGAGCTGACAGATGAGTTGCTGGAGCATGTTACCCACAATGCACCCCTCTCTTGGCTGGTGGGGCCCTTCGCCCCATCTGGCAAGCCGGAAAAGGAGGAAATAGAGATGCAGTAGAACTTGGAAGGCTTTCTTGTGGGAGTAAGGGTGGGCTGGTGGAAATCTAGGCTGCTGTTAGTATTGGCTTGCACATGGAATGGCCTGTTGGCCCAAACTGGAAATTGAACTAAGTTCCCTTCTAAGCCTGAGAGCACCATTCTAAAAAAAAAAGAGAGAGCAGAAAATGCTGTGGGAGGGAAGCCTGGGAATGTTATGGCAGTAGAAGTCGAGCCATGGCCTCATATTTGAGGCAGACTGCGGCCTACAAGCTTTGGCTGCCATTTTTAAGGCCTGTCCATTAGCGCAGGCAAGATGTGCTATCTGTCTGTCCTGCTGTGGCACTCGTCGGCCAATTAAAAGCAAAGCTTGATATTTAGGGTGCTGAAATCTTGTTCGTCTTCCCCCTCCCATTCCAAAATGCAAGCAAATTATTTTTCGAGACGGTAGAGAGAACTTGCAACACTTTTGTGGGATTGTTCCAGCACTGTTTGGCAGGGAAATGTCCCCTAGAGAACTTTTTTTGTGTGGGAGTGTACTGTCTTACAAACACACCTGGTGTTGAAATTGAGGAATTGGGCACAAATGTTGAATGTAATGAATAGAACCTGGAGAGGAAAAAGTGTCTTTTCAACTCTTGCATAAATATCTCTTTCTATAATGAAACAGTAATGAAATGGAATACCTACAAGGTGTAACATAAACCATTTGTCCCTCAAATGTCTTGGTTGACGGTTCTAGATTTCTGAATTCTAAAGCTACCAGGGAAAGGGGGGGGGGCAACTAAGTGAGCTGCTTCTCCTCTAACTTGAAAAAGCATATTTTCTGAAACTTGTCTGCAGTTGTACTTAAGGAAAGTTGTGCCTTTCTTGCCCCACACTGATTATATATCCCACACGTGTGCCTTGATTTCACCAATAAATGTTATTGCAATAAAGGATGTTCTTGTGTATTGGGTGGGGGGGGACAAGTTAAGGGCCTAGCCCTATCCAAAGTAAACCATTCATCTTCTTGGGAAGAGGGTGTTAGGACCTCCAGCTCTGGGTTGGGGGATATCTGGAGATTTGGGGGGTAGAACCCGGAGAGGACAAGGTGTGGGAAGGGGAAGGAACTCAGCATGGTACCACGCCGTGGAGTCCACCCTCCGAAGGAGACATTTTCTCCAGTGGAAGAAACCCACCCCAATCGGGAACTACAAAGAAACAAAAGAAAACATTAGTCAACAATCAGCAGAGCCCGATTCTGACAATATGGAACTTAACTGATGCATTCCAGTTCAGAATAAGCCAAGTTGACCAACGCTCACCAGGGCCAGCCCTGGTTAGTACTTCGAGAAGACCACCAAGGAAGTCCAGGAGTCACTAAGCGGAGTCAGGCAACGGCAACCCCACTGCCAAACGTCTCTTATCCTTGAAAGGGGGGTTGCCATAAATCAGCTGGAATTTGATGGCCAAAAAAAGGAGTTTAATACAGAGCCTGTCCAAAGCTCCATCATCACTGGTGAGCAGGGGTCATTTCGTGGAAAAAGAGGTGCAGGAGCTCATTAGCAAAACTCATTAGCACAGCTTATTTGCATATGCCACACCCCCTGACATCACCGGAAGCGTGTCAGAAGGCAACACCCACCGCTCAGGCTCCACTGGACTGTTTTGGATTGCTAGCTGTTGGGGGGGGGGGGAACGTGCAGATCTGTCCTCGCAGAAGAGGGAGAGCTTGTACCTGAATAAAACTTGGTCTTAAAGGTGCCACTGGACTGTTTTGGACCGGGGGTGGGGGTGGAGCTCTGCAGCTTACCTGGCTGCTTCTTGCTCTGACTGAGGGTTGCTGGGAGCAGGGGGTGGGGCTTGTTGCATGTGCCCGCCCCCCTGGGCTCTTTACTGCCGGAGCTCCGCTCCTGTGCGCTCCTGCAGGAAATGACCCCTTCAGGTGAGTAATGACTTCTCAGCCTCCTGGGACACAGCTGCAGATCCAAATGTTCTGCCTCCGGCTTCTGAATACAGCTACTTTAAATGGCCACGAAGGGTTGCCAGCTGTGGTTTGGGAAATTCCTGGAGAATTGGGGGAGGGACTTCAGCAGGGTATAACGCCACAGAGACCAACTTCCAAAGCAGCCATTTCATCCAGAGGAACTGATCTCTGTCACTTGGAGACAAGTTGTAATTTTGGGACATCTCCAGCCACCACCAGGAGGTTGGCTACCTATGTGTATCTGCTAACTTTACAAGACTGGTCTATTTGACCTATATAGAGAGTAAAAGGGTGTTGTCCACACATGAAGAAGAAGAAGAGATTGGATTTATACCCCGCCCTTCACTACCCAAAGGAGTCTCAGAGCGGCTTACAAACTCCTTTCCCCTCCCCTCCCCACAACAGACATCCTGTGAGGTAGGTGGGGCTGAGAGAGCTCGGACAGGAACTGCTCTTTTTCAAGGACAGCTCTTATCAGAACTACAGCTTGCCCAAGGTCATCCATCCAGCAGAAGAAGAAGAAAGAAGAGATTGGATTTATACCCCGCCCTTCACTACCCAAAGGAGTCTCAGAGCAGCTTACAAACTCCTTTCCCTTCCCCTCCTCACAACAGACACCCTGTGAGGTAGGTGGAGCTGAGAGAGCTCTGAGAGAACTACCCTTTCAAGGACAGCTCTGGCAGAACTATGGCTTGCCCAAGCTCATCCAGCGGGTGCAAGTGGAGGAGTATGGGGAATCAAACCCGGTTCTCCCAGATTAGAGTCCACACACTTAACCACTACACCAAACATGAGGGCCGTGTGGCGTGCTGGTCCAAATGTCTCACTAGAACTCAGAAGACCTGAGTTCAAATCAGGATAACTAGCTTGGCTTTGAGGCAGTCGTTCTTCCTCTCACCAGGTTCCTGTGAGGATAGAATGGGGAAGGGAGAGAGCCGTCTACCCTACACTGCGTTCCTACAAGGAATGGCCTGTCTGTTTAAAGACGAGGCTTAAAAGATAATCCCAGAATCCTCTGGGGCACACAGCAGGTTTGTGTGGTGGAGAAATCCGTCTGATAAGGTCAGAAAGTGAAAATGTAGTAATTGGGATGAACAGAACTCCATGTCTTCAAAAGGTTTCTTAAGAAAATGTGGGGCTTATTCACTAGGCCAATCTGTTTATTTTCTTTCAGTTTCCAAAACGGCCTATCCAGGACTCCCTGACCAGGCACAACACTTGTTTAGGAAATGTATATGCTGCCTCTCCAGGGAACCTACTAAAATTATAGAACAGCCATTAAAAGAATGCTAGCCATTGCATCCAACATTTAGCTTCCCCAAATAATTCTTAGGAAGCAGCCCTTGGGCCTGAAGCAGACTGTAAAACTGACATTAAAAGGTCAGCTGTTTAATTAAAAGGCTGGCTACAAAGAAATATTTGGGCCTGGCATCTAAAAAAGAGTAAGGTGTAGGTACCAGCAATGCTCCCTCTAAGCTGTGGAATCTTGTGAGCAAAAATTCTACTTTGCGAGCTACTGGCATTAAAGTTGTGAGCGAGCAATTTGGCTACTACATAAATTAGTTTGCTCCGGAGCTATCCTTCCTGAGCTAAGACAAAAATGTGTGAGCTGAAAGCTAAAAAACTGTGTGCTAGCTCACACTAACTCAGCTTAGAGGGAACGCTGGGTACCAGGTGTGCCTCAAAGAGAAGGGTATTCCACAGAAGATGTATTGGTCTGCCTCGATCTTGGAGACAAATGGGATATTTCCATCACGTATTGCTTGAGTTATGGATGATGCTTTCTGGCTCTTCTGGAATGGTTAACGGTCCAGGTAGCCAAAGGAATTGGTGAGCAGAGCTTTTTCAGGGAAGCCCTAGGAAGAGCATCTTGAAAATGTTGACCTAGAGGAAGGACTGGAGAATGGAGATATACCTGGATGCCTTTCAGGCTTATGAAAAGGCTGGTGACATTTGAACTCTGGGGAGGGGCCATGGCTCAGTGGAAGAGCCTCTGCTATGCATGCAGAAAGTCCCAGGTTCAGTCCCCAGCATCTCCAGTTAAAGAGATCAACCAGGAGGTGAAGTGAAAGACCTCTGCCTGAGAAGGAGGAGGAGGAGATTGGATTTATCTCCCCGCCCTTCACTACCTGAAGGAGTCTCAGAGCAGTTTACAATCTCCTTCCCTTTCTCTCCCCACAACACACACCCTGTGAGGCAGGTGGGGCTGAGGGAGCTCTTTCATGGACTGCTCTTGAGAGAACAGCTCTGAGAGAACTTGTAACCGACCCAAGGTCACACCTGCAGCTGCATGTGGAGAAGTGGGGAATCAAACCCAGTTCTCCCAGATTAGAGTCCGTGCTCCTAACCACTACACCAAAGCTGCTAACAGACTGAGTAGACGGAGTAGGCTTGGCCTTCCCACAGGAATCTTGTAAGCAGTGCTCCCTCTCAGCTGAGTTAGTATGAGCTAGCTCACAGTTTTTTAGCCTCCAGCTAGCACATTTTTTGTCTTAGCTCAGGAAGGATGGCTCTAGAGCAAACTGATTGATGCAGTAGCCAAATCGTTCGCTCACAACTTTAATGCCAGGAGCTCACAAAGTAGGATTTTTGCTCACAAGATCCCACAGTTTAGAGGGAACATGGCTTGTAAAGATGGTAGTCTGGGTCTACCCACAGGAAGTAAAGTGGCCGCTATTTACTGTGGGTAGACCTGACCTCTCCGCCGCCTGGTTGACTTTGATGGGCCAATGATCTGATTCGCTAAAAGGCAGCTTCATGTTTGGTGTCGTGGTGAAGTGCGCAGACTCTAATCTGGGAGAAGCGGGTTTGATTCCCCACTCTTCCACTTGCACCTGCTGGATGACCTTGGGCAAGCCATAGTTC